TCACATAACCTTCTCGGCTCTTCTAAATTCCACACTTTAGAAATCAGAACAACAAGATTTAGGCCATTTATTTATTTTGAAGGACGGACTCACTTCTAAACATCAGCCCAATATCACTCTTAAAAATTTTTCAAGATGACCAATTGTTTTTCAATATTTAAATGCAGTTCAATCTATTAATGACATGATATCTATGATTTTGTAATGTTGTGGGCTCAAATTTTGTAAATATAGCCGTAATTAATGTATAAAGTAAAAAAAAAAAATTACTTTTACCAAAATTGATGTAAATTATTATAGTACAAAATTTAATCATTGTCTATTAAAACCATAAAATCTAAATTTTCTTCTACATATCTTCCGTGCAAATGCACAGGTAAAAAACTAGTTATATTTTATTGATAAGGTCAGATCAGATATTTATTACGAAATTGCATCTTGCACGGGTAAATTCAGGAATTTAAAGCAATAAGAAAATTAATTATGATTAAGGAAAACCAAATGTAATTGAGTACTAGGGTAAAAAAACAGATGATTAAGTTTCAATTGGTTGAATTGTATAGTAAATAACAATTGTTGATTTTCTGGTAATGTATTTTTATCTTTTTAATTTTACAATATAAAAGATTGAAATAATGAAATTTAATGTGCAATTTATATATATAAGATTAAAATTACTATCTGTAAATTGGTAATGAAGCAAAAATTGAAATTTAATGTGCAATTTGTATGTACTTTTTAATTTCATCATAATTTTTACCTTAGAAAATCGATCGAGCAGGTTCTGTCGTGTTTCTATTCTGCCCCCTTATTTTTTATTATTTTATTTTTACCCCCATATTTTATTATAAGCTGCTACTTGTGCAGTACTGCAGTTTTACTCACGTTTAAGCACGATGGTTACAGCTCGGACTCAAGTCAGCGACGGTCACGATGGTTCCACGTGTCAACCCAAAGGTTCGGAGCAATTTATCTTTTAGTTTCATGTGGTTAAACTAGAGTGGTAATTATTTATAACTAGTTAAATAAAAATCAATTGCTTGTAAAATCGACTCTGTAAAACTCGAGAGTAGCATTTTTTTTTTGGTTGTAATATTTCAACTTTTACCTAAGCTCGACTCATTATAGCTCGAGTATAATTTATTGCACTTACCATTTGTTCCTCCCACAACACGTGACGAAGGTGATTAAATAGTGTCGGCAAGCATGTGACCGAAAATCGAAATGCATACATTCAACCTTGTTAGCTTGCAGCATCACCATGTGGTACCCTGTGTTGACATAGTGATACACCATTTCGTGTTGGGCTTGTGCCTTAATGAAGAACCCAATTGCATATATACTACCACAATCCACAATACCCGTGTACTAGTGATAGAACCTAACTGTAAACTTAAGAACTTAGAGAATATGGATTATATATGGACTCTATTTTATTTTTATTTTTTTTGTATTAAGAATTATGGACTCAATTTTATTTTTTTTCTGAATTATTATTAATTATTTGGGCTGGCCAATCACTTGCCTCCTCCTCTTTGATGCTTCCTGCACGTATAGAGGGAGGTCACGTGAGAGTCACGTGCTGTCCCCCTCCATGATTGATGCATGCTTAGCTGAACAGTTTTTTTATGGAAACATTTGGGGGATTTAAAAATGATTATCATAAGAGAATCTTTAATAATCAAAACTCTTAAACTTACACTAATACACCTCCCGTGCGATGCAGTGGGTGCACAATTGTAAGGTCATTTATCCAGTGTTATAATTATATAAATGAATAAAAAAAAAATGTACGCGATATATATAGACGTGACCTGTGCGAGGCACGCGATATATTTATTGGGAGATTATTATACTATAAGATGCAATATTCAATAAAAGTTTTATAATACACGAAAATAAATATAAATAATGTAAATATTTAAATACATACACGATATGTAGAATAAATGAGCTAAATTGCAAATCTGAAAATATAATTAAAAAAAATATATCAAAAATATATTTCACTAAACATGTACAAAAGTAGCTAAATACATACACGAAAAAAAATTAAAATATACGTTTCAAATTTTGAAATTAAAAAAAAAAAAAAGTCAAAAAATTTGGCTTACAGTTTTTATCAGTAGAACCAACTCGAGATATGATTTGTATGTGTTGCACCAGTCTTGGAAAATATTCTCACAATTCGAACTTTGAGCATAGGTCTATTAGACCTATTGACTTGTTTAATTAACCCAAATCCTTGATTCATTGTTTTGAATAAACGACTGATTGAGGATATTTTTTTGTTCGCATGAGGTTGACAGTGAGGAAGATGATGACTCGATATTTTGAGATTTGTAATTTATAATAGGTAAAGTACACTACAAGAAAACACTTCAATTCCAAAGGCAAAAATTTCCGTTGGAAATTCCAATGAATATTCCAACAAACTTAATTTTATGTTGGAATAAGTGTTGGATGGATGAGGAATTCCAACGGATTTTTTCCGTTGGAATGGTTGTAGGAATTTATTTCTATAGGATTTTCCGTTGGATTTTAGCTATTCCAACGGCCCTTTTTCCCACAAATTTTTATACGTAGGAATATCCGTTGGAATAGCTATTCCAACGAAAAATATAAAGAATTCCAACAGAAAATTTCCGTTGGAACACTACAAAATAAATGTTATATTCCAACGAAAAATCATATGGTAATATATTCCAATGGAAATTCCAACGGATATTCCAATTGAATAGCTTCCGTTGGAATGTGTTTTTCATTGGAATTTTAGATGGAATTTGATGATTCCAACGGCTATAATTTCAACGGCTTTTTACCGTAGGAATTTCCGTTGGAATATGCAAATTCCGTTGGAATTTTTTTTCCACCCCCGTTGGAAAATTCACCGTTGGAATCGTCAAAATCCAACGGAAATTCCAATGGAAAACCTATTCCAACGGAATATTTTCGTTGGAATTTCCATTGGAATCCATTGAAAAATTCCAATGGAAATAATAGTATTGAAATATCTAATGGAATTACCGTTGGAATAATTCTTTTGAAATATATTTCTGTTGGAATTTCATCATATTCTTGTAGTGGTAGATATATAATCATGTTAATATTTTTATTAGAAAATCTGAATCTGAATATACAGAAATCGGTTTGAATAAAATCAGAAAAAATTTCCAAACAATTAGATAAGGAATTTTTTGAATCTGCATTTTTTTTAGTATAGATAGACTTTACGTACAAATTTTGACTTCACCGATTTTATGGGATTTGTTTTGACAAATCGATGTTAATATGAAATAAGACAAATAAATAAAGCTTTTTTTATTTTTTATTTTAGTAAAGATTTTACGTCTTTTTTTTTACTTATGAGATGTTATTAGATTTTTTTTCTTAAACTGATTTTATGGGATAAGACAAATAAGTAAAATAATTAAATAAAATTTTGGATATAAATAGCAATGTATTAATTACGTTGACTTTTCAACCTACTAAATTTGGTAAATAAGATACCTTATTATATAAGTATAGATTTCATTTTATTTTATTTATTTTTATTTTTATTTTTGTGTGTTGTGTTGCAATTTAATTTTCTTTTTGGTAATTTCGATGTAATTTTGCACTAAACTGCGTGGTTCATAGTCCAGTCCAGCTCAAAATGGGCTGGGCTCCGTCGACATGAAAATACAAAATGCTACTCTCTATCTATTTAGCTTAATACTTCTTATTTTAAAAGCAGATGGGAAAAAAAAAATATAAAGAGATAGGTGCAAATTATTTAAAAAAAAAAAATACAAAATGCCCATCAAGTTTATATATTGAACTTGAAACCTTTAATTTTCTGGACGTGTGTTTGAGTTTACTTAGTAAGATGAGAAAAGAACATAATGAACCTATGCTCTTTAACCTTTTGCTTTCCTCTTTCTTTTAAGATTGGCCAGAATTTGATCCTCCAATAGAATTTTTGGGCATTCCAAAAATTTTGGGATCCAAAGTTCCATAAAGCCACAAGAACAAATATATGGTATGGTTCAAAAATTCTACGGAGTCATCGGATCGTTTTCTTATAGAGTCATTCATCACTTAATATATCGACACTTGTCCAAAGTGTATTTATTGTAGCACACGTGTCAATACACTATTTGTGAACAAGTGTGAATGGCTCCATAAGTCGTGTCATCCGATGGCTTCATAGCAAAACTGTGGTATGGTTTCTCTCTCATTTTTTTTTTTTTTTCCTTTTTGGACAAATGGATTGGGTTTGAGATGTTGAGCATGTATTCCTCAAGTAATGTGGCTGACTGGCTGTTAAATTATCTAAGAATTGGTTAGTCATATTTTTTCTATTTTCATACATAATTTCATATTAAGAATTATTATATTATAGAAATCAACATAAATTATAGTCCATTTTTTTTTCAATTTTATTACAATATTTCATATTTAAAATATTATATTTAGATAATAAGATAAAATAAAAATATAACATTTCATAGTATAAATATATTTTTATTAAAAAAGTAAGACAATTTATATTTAGGCAATAGTCTGCTGTGAAACAATTTAACAACAGAATTTGTAGTGTTCCTCTCTTTTACTTTCTTCTTCTGAATTTTCTAAACTATTTCACCAAAACCGAAATAAGAGAATGAGAACAAAGAGACTTATCACACTTATGTGATTATCATAACAGTTTATGTATCTATTATTGAAAAATGCTACAATCCCATTACGGAACTATTCCGTTGAGATTTGTAACTGTTAGATACACATATTACACTAATATAGATGTATATTTAATGACTACAATCCCGACATAATGATTCTGTAACGGGACTGTAGTCTTACACTCTCTTATTATTTTTTCTTCTTATCTATTTTTCCACACATCTCATCACCTACCATTGCTCCCTCCACAAAGCCAAAGCAACAACATGCTCCCACATTTAACAGAAAACGAAACAAAAAGGACCAAATTGCAAAAAACTAAAAAAATAAAAAATTCAACCCGCCAAATGATTTTGCCGCTTCAAGTCCCTATAGAAATTCATGATGAACCTCTCCGCCGCCTCGTCCACCCGACCGCCTTCTTCCTCACCCGCCTCCACCACCGGAAAAGGCGAGTCCGTCACCCT